TTTAAGATACAAACTAGCAATTATCAGCTATTTTTCCGTCCTTTAGCTGAGTTTTATGCCACTCTGGTGGCATTTAATATTCGACCCGTAAATTTTTTTTCACGTTTTTTTTGGTGCAGACCATTTTGGTGCTTCCTACTGCAAAAGTGAAACAGAGATATATCCTGAATTTGCAAATTGGCATTGTCATACCAGGAATGTCAAGATTGCTTGTACAAACAGTGTGTAATAATTTAATGTTAATGATATTACTAGAATGTTTCCACGTTTTGTTCGCAGCTGTTCCAGGCTTTTCGATCCTAGGCTGTATACTTCCAGTCAGTGCCTGTTACCTGCTGTACACATGTCGTATTGATAGAAAACAAACATACCGATTATCAGGACATATTTGTTCGTGCTCGCTTCCTTTTTTACAGCAAGCATATTCATTTGTTGTCGTAAGATTAGAGCATTCGTAGTTGTCCGGACAACTGATTGCTCCGTAGCAGGCAATCGGATTCCCATCTTTTAAATGTGATTCCCGACCAAGGCAACGCGCTTCTTCCTGGATAGCAGCAGGACAACAAATTCGGTGCCCTTAAATTTGAATTTTATGCCTCACGAAAAAAATTCGAACTGATCCATCATAACGGTAGAAGTACCAAGTGAAATTTTGAATCTTGCATTGATCTGACCAAAATAAATTGGTACTGGCATATACCAAGCATTAAAGCCCGTTATCAGCTTGTTTTTAAGCAACGCTCGAAAGAACGAGCCATCTCACTGTTGGTATTTACAGTAACACTCTGGCTACTTACGAAGTACCTCAGCTTCTCAACGAGTGTAAATATGGAGGGGAGTTTGACTCTAAACTGATCACAAATGATATTCTCTGCGCTTGTGTAAGCTAAAAATCTCAAACTCAGCCCCTAAGTTTTTGCGGATGTCACGTACGGGCATGTGAAATATTTGGCGGGAAAACTGCTAACTCAGTAACCAGAAAATCTGGAAGACTGAAATTTTAAGACTGAATCCGTTATTCTACAATTTTGAATCTGAACACTTGTAGCCGACGGACAAATAACAAAATCACCTTCCATATTCTTGGCTTCAACACATTCTTCCTTCGAATGACAATCTGTGGACATTTCACACTGTTTTGTGGAACCGGGGATAACGCCATTTGGACAGCGTAGTTCTTCGTGGCAGCAGTACATTTTTGTATTGGTGAATGACGGTTGACAGATGTAATGCTAAACGTAAAATTAGGGCGTGAAAATTGGCAAATTTCATGCCTGTGGTACTTATCACACCACAGTCCAAGACTGACAACTTTTGGGACGAGGAAGTAATGGATAAACCATTAAGATCTGTAGGATCCTGAGACTATCAAAATGGATGGTTTGATTTCCTCCCAGTCCGTAATCATTTACAAAAAGAAAAAAAGATTTTTAAAAATAATTATTTTGAATCTTAAAAAAAATAAAGATTTTGAATATTTAGTTTCTAAACTAGTGTTTTTTCAAATGAAACAAATGTTCAATTTAAAAATCAATGTGCCAGAACATTATTATCTATGAAATGGGAAGTAAAAAATACCTCAGGGCAAACGCTGGCATCATGTGAGCAGTCCAGCGGATGTTCATCCAACTGATAAGCAAATCCTCCTTCTCCACATACCGCTTCGTCCGGTTCAACTTTAATTATTAGCGACCTGAAAGTACAAGAAAAAAAATAAAAATCATTGTGAAAAAATTATTTTAAGAGACTTCAGTATCAACAGCTGAAGAGGATGTCCGCTCAGATGCTTTTTTTTTCAGCGGATGGAGGAAGACTGACCAGGTAGGCATTCTCTCTTAATCTTCTAGGTATCACGCAGAGATAGGAATGTGACAGAAGTGACTCCGTTTGTGCTTGAAGCTTACGTTCATGCAAATAATTAATCTGGCAGGCATGACGCAGTGGGGAACAGAGCTTCTGTTGTGCAGGGCAGAGTCAGGCTGCATTAATGAGACAGCCAAGTCCTTCCATGATTCGGTTATTCGTTTTGACGATAAATTGATAAAGGCGGATGTCATGAAAACAAACCTATCATAAGCTGATTTTTAAGCAACCCCTAAATGAGGGAGCAACCACTGACTAGCAAGGCTGCCAATGGCAGTTAACACTGTGAGTGAAGCTATAGCTTTCAACCAAAGTGACTGCAACACCGGAGTGGTTCTTGTGTTTTGCATCATCAGATGGGCCCGAATATCTTCTCCGACAAACTTCGTATGACACGCTTTAAAACCCAGGGACAAACAGCCCTATATACCAATGCCTGACATAACAGAGTTTGACAAGGGCTACTTAACCAAGATGTTACTGGATGTTGCAAGGTGTTAATAAAACCTAATATAATAAAAATGGCCAACGCACGGGCTGCCCGTGCGAAGATGCATTTTTTGTGGAGTTCCCCGCAGGTTTTTGTCGCTACCGGCATCGGTCTTTCGGCAGATGCTTCTAGCTGAATTTCAGACTGGCCGCCAGAA